TGACAGACAGCAGCAGGAATATTGGACTGCGGTCCCTTTAAGAGTTTATCCAGGGACCCAATATACTGTTACACAACATGCGTTCTCTTTCTCAACTATTTAATGTTCCAAAACTGACTGTGTTTTACTGGATACTCTATGGGCATTTTGACATAATTTTGTATGTATTTGACCGTTTTAGCGCAGTTAGCCACTCATATTGGTATTTGTGGCTCACAAGCTATTTGGTGTAAGTGCGAAACCTGCGGGAATAACTAAAATAATGCGCAATACAAGCACTATTTAACCGGAGCGAATGAGACGTGTGTGTGAGAGAGAAGGGGTCGTCGAAGAGAAGAGAGCGAGAATGCGCGGCTGACGTTATTGCCTGTGCATGGTAACAAAACGGATCGGCCGATCATGAGGGAAATCGTCCGATTCCGATCCCTGGCCGATCGATCGGTGCATCTCTAGCGATAACGCAATGTGAACATTCGCTTCGCTTTTGGTGTGCACACACAGTAAGAGTCCATCCAAAATGTCAAATATGATATTTTGAGTCGATTCTAGCAAGGAAGTGCATGTGTTTGCATGAATTTGTTGTGTTTGGAACAACTTGAAAAGTCTAATATTGTGTGGTCTTCAGTCATTTAGTGTATGATGCCCAGTTTTTCTCTGCAGCCATTTACAAAGTTGGCAAGTGTATGATGCCTAGTTTTTTCAAATCGTTTCAGATTTCTAAACTCGTGTAGTGTATTCCAGCCTTTACACAATAATTTATTAATTTTATCATTGTTTTTTTGTGTGTGTAGAATTTGTGCTTACACATGTATTTTTTTATTTAATTCATTTATTTTGATTTAATAAAATGCTATTTAATTTTATTGCGTTGCATTATTGTTATGAAGCAAGAAAACATCTTTTAAAGACTGACCAGCATGTTCAAATGTGAGGCTGGTAGTGCTTGCTGTTGGTTACTGCACATTACTGCAGCTATCATTAGATCTACTCTACCGGGGTCATTTTATTCACTGCCCCCTGGACACCCAGCATTTTCTAAAAATGGTCCCCAAGCTACGTAGTTCAAGTATCCCTGCTTTATGAGCTCAGCTGGTCTCTGTATCACTAACTCTTTCTCTCTCAGGAAGACGGACAGATTCTTCCAAACACAAGAAACCTCTGGCATACTCTCAGCTAGAGGTGATGCTGCACCACCAGAGATTCAGATTAGAAACAGATTTTTCAGTTCATGCTGCTTTTTTAAATGATTAAGGTGACTATATAGTGAGAGTGTTTTTGGCAAACTGAATGCCTCATATCCTGATTTATACATTTGAAACCCCTAGCATTGAAATTAAGCACCTAATTAGGACTTCCTGCCAGAAACACTTACTCTTTCAATGAGAGACACAGGTTGGCATATTATATGTTGTAATACACCACTCAACGCTCCGATATTTTCTATCTTGATGATTCAATTTGTACTTGTTGCTCACAGATTCATTCAGAGTCTTTCCGAATGATTTCTTGAATCAAAATTCACTACAATAAATGAAATATTCATGACAACACAACATATATAATCACACTATCAGGCTGCATGAATGTGTCATTTCCTTCTGAGATTTTTCCAAGCTGGCAGCACACTTTTTCTGGATTGTATTGATCGTTTCCGGCTCACCAGTAATCTCTGTGTTCTTATCATCGTTGCCAAATTCACACTGAACACACACAGAATATCATTGGGCACCAATTAAGCCCAGTCCTGGACTTTACTGTGCCATCACTCCAGTCCGTTTTAACACGGCACCTAATCTGTGCCCAGACTCTGTCGGATCGCGTGAATGGTGAGATGTGAATTATCGTTAGTTGATTTTTTTATTTTTTTTTTCAAGTCTAGGGATGATACATTCCCTCTTGTCTCTGTTGCTAAGATACATAGCTCACATGTGAGCGAGAATCATATTAATGATATGAGCCTGGGAACATGCAAATTAACTGATGTGTGATTGGATTATGAAATGTGAATGTCATGAATATAATAATGTATGATCATTTGGTTCATCCATGAATGGGATCTATTTGTGAGCGCATTGATTGTATGTGCATGTGGCAGGTCTTTAACACACAGACACGCAACCCAAAGTCTATCAGTCTGAAGATCAAATTAGAATGAAATGGGAATAAAGATCTCATTCAGCTAAGATGCAAGCACAATGAAAGATGGAGAAAAATCATATTTCATCTCAGTAAAGAGACCTGAGCATCTGCCTGACAACCCAGCCCCAATTAGTGAGAGAGGGTGGTTCGGTCGGTGTGTCTGTGTGGGTGGTGGGTTATCTGAATTTGTGTCTGAGAGATGTTTCACTCTTTTTGCTTGCTTTTAGGGTTCACAACATGCGTTTCTGTGCTCAACCTAACTTTAACTCTTTCCTCTCCAAGCTGAACTCAGTGTGTGTGTGTGTGTGTGTGTTTGTGTGTGCCTGTGTGTGTGCGTCTGCGTGTCTCCAATTCTCTCGCACAGACAGGTCGGCGAATTTCATTTTCTATGACAACGGTAAGAACGATATGATCAGACGTGGGATATTACCCACAATTCATGTGTGTTTTCTCTCTTGAGTGCTGATGTTTCCAGTGGATGTGATTGACACGTACCATTAGTCTGACAGATATGCAAGTCTCTGTTTTCTTATTCAGATCCATCAATTTGCTGCATTTTCCAGTTGATGCAGTGACACAATCCAATTTGAAATCAGTATCCACACATTTGAAATGACAAGATTCGGTGTTGTTTTAAAAGAGTCGGTGGTGAATGCTGAGTGATTCCCTTCCCCGTGGTGGTGCTTTAGATTGGGCTGTATCATTGCCTTTCTCTCTCTCATTCCTGCCTCATTGCCGTTCGGCTGATTGGCTGTGCATGGATTCCGCTGTTGTGATTGAAAAAGTCCACTGTCATTCTGATGTCTTTTTTCTGCTTAATATTTATGCAGCACACACACACACACACACACACAAGGAGCGAACAGACTTTTTAATATCTTGAGGAAAAGTCTTTAGTGTGTGTGAATAAAAGCATCCCATTCCATCCTGATGTCCAGGCCTCTGGCAGTTATCAAAAGGGGTGAGGTGGGGTTGGCCTAGCTGATTGCCTGAATGTTAATGCGTGTATTTTACGGCTGGACGATATGGCTGAAAACATTATATCTGGGTATTTTCAGCTAAAAACTATTTGAAAATAACCAAGACATAGATTCCATATATTACTAACTAAATCATCCAAACATAATGATATTTAATCATTCTTATTTATATGTATAACAATAATAAAATATAACAATATATACATAATTTTTGAAACTATGATATATATATATATATATATATATATATATATATACATACAGAGTTCTGGAATGAAACTCTAGATGGCGCAGTCCGATAGGTCTAACTCAATCTGACCTA